GTGTGTGTATATATATATATATATATATATATAATTATTATTATTTTTTTTTACGATCATAGCATCTCTAACAGAAGCGAATGATTTGTTGCCTCAGTCACAGACGCATCTGTGAGCGTGATGGACTTCACAGCAGATGAGCAGCTGGAGGAGTTGTGTCCGGTATGTGGAGATAAGGTGTCCGGATATCATTACGGCCTTCTTACCTGCGAAAGCTGTAAGGTACGATCCAGCTTGTCTTTTGTTATTAACTCAACGTGTCGCACTCGCTTAATAATCATAAACCAAAGAGTTTATGAACAGTGAAGAATTCCATGACTTAATTATTTTAATGTAGCTAATGCTAGGAAAATTATTACTACGTAACAGTCTTTCTTAATGTCATTAATACAATTTATTCAGTCATTTATTTAATAACAGCATTTGGTAATGCTTTATTTTACAATGTCCTTGTTAAGCATGCTACATTTAGTTTGTAATAACAGCATATACCTAGCACTTGTTGTTAATATTACTCACTACTCAAATGTATAATTGCACTGTAACAAGGACATCTTAAAATAAAATGTAATCCAATATCTTTTTGGTTTCATCATGTATGCAAATACATACTGCATTTGACTGTCAGCTCTGGTCTGTTCGTTTAGAACAGTCCAATATGATTACAGGCTGTACTCCTGTTGTTTTTAAACAGTTGACAGAGCCTGACAGAATATAATCCTTATTATATGCATTATCATGACAGGGTTTTTTCAAGAGGACAGTTCAAAATAACAAGAGATACACATGCACACAGAACCAGGACTGTGGCATTGACAAAACCCAGAGGAAGAGATGCCCCTTCTGTCGCTTCCAGAAGTGCCTCAGCGTCGGCATGAGACTCGAGGGTGAGCCGTGCTTCTCATTAGAAAACTTACATGTAGAGAAAACAGGAAAGCTTTTGCTGTAAAGGAGCCAAATCAAAATGATAAGCTGTCCTGTCATTTAGGAAGCCACCCTGAATGTCCTGATCATATTACTGCTGTCTTGAACAGCTGAACCTGAGAGAATGTAATGCTTATTATATGACATTAAATCATGTATTATATGCATTTATGTTATATTTTGACTCCAGGCTAAGCATAGCTTGTCATTAAAGACATTTTAGTAAAATATAAAATATATCTAGAGAAAAGGGAAAACATTTCATCCGATATTTCATTATCATGATTTAATTAAAATGATTTTTGAAGAATTAATGTCATATTTAATGACACTCATTATGGAGTTTATACCCAGAAGATGAAAAGACTTTAAAAAATATCTAAAATAGCCTTGATTTAGTTACAAGTAATAAAAACCATGTGTTTTGATTCATTGGGCTACATCTATACCAGTTAACATCTTGTTAAAAATATATTTTAATGTTTCATCGCCATTTATGAACAAGTACCCAAGCGTATTTTCTTCCAAATCAATTTAAATTATGAACTTTTTACTTTTTTCAAATTTATTTGAAAGTTTCTGGGATGGAAAATATCCTTGTCAGTCTCTTATTTTGCTCTCTGTGCGCGCGATTCCCAGGCCGAGTGCAGAGAAGCACCTGTTTCCGCGCGCGCCTGTGACACATTCCTCACGCGCTGATAAGACTTGCGGATTCATGTTGAGAGTTCACAAAAACCAGGCCGGAAAATGTCCATATGAAGAGAAATATCCATTTGTTTGTGCCCTGACTTACTTAAGCAAAACCGTGCCAAGCATTCCTTGCTTTATTTGGCTTTTTATCCACTGTGCTCCTAAAATAGGCTTACATCGCCAATTGTATTAGACAGACAGCACATCTGCAAAATGTAATTAATATTTGATAAGTTTGATATGCAACCTTTAACACTCTCGCCCTCTTTCCTCCCAGCTGTCCGTGCAGATCGAATGAGAGGGGGAAGGAACAAGTTTGGTCCCATGTACAAGCGGGACCGTGCCCTGAAACAGCAGAAGAGAGCTTTAATCAGAGCCAGCTGCTTTAAAATAGAGGCCAACCCATCCCTCCTGTCCAGCACCCAGATTGAGTACCCGCATCCCGGATCACTCTCAGGTCTCCATCCCCCTTCTCTGTCCTCTCCGGAGTACGACTGCCCCCCTCTCTGCCCCCCGGCCCTGGGTGTTGCGCTGCAGAGCTATGGCTCATTCCCGGCTCAGTACCAATACACTGCTCCCTCTTTACAGAGCAGATCGATTAAAGCTGAATACCCAGACGCGTACTCCAGTTCACCTGACTCCTCTTTAGGGTACCCGTACCCTGACGGCTGCATGCCTGCGTCCCCACACACCAGCCCCATGAACCCTGGCTTGCCCCCGCTGGTGCTAGAGCTGGCCAGCTGTGATCCAGATGAGGAGCAGGTATGAGATATATCATCTGGAGGTAGAAATGAATTAGTTCACATAAAAAGTGAAAAATCTACTTTATTTAACAAAAGCACTTTATGGTGCTTTTGTTTTTCAGGTTCATTTAGTCAGATTAAATGACTTGAGATGTTACTAAACTAAGCACAGTTTTGTTTACCTGAAAAATCCCTTTTTCTAGAAATGAGAAATTGAACAATAATTCAAATATTGTGTCTTATAAAAAATAAAGTCTTTACAAACCTGTATGACATTCTTTTGAATGCAAAAGATGATTTTAAAATACATTGGACCCCACTGACTTACTTTTGCCACTTTTGTCATACAGGTTTGGAATAACTTGAGCAAAGTTTGCCGCAATGTTTATTTTTGGGTGAACTATCCCTTTAAAGGGAGGAGAATTCTGGGATTTAAAAGCGTGCATAGTTTAATTCAAACCTTTGGTATTTCCAACTTATGTGGTCAAAACAGATCAAAGACAAGTGTAACATTTAAATTTTTTATATATTTTAACGAAGTGGATGTTCTATTTTTTAGTTTAATAATATAATATTTTTGTATCACTTTACAGTAAGAATCCATTTGTTAACATTAGTTAACTACTGTTCCTTAGTTAGCATAAACTAACAATAAAAATACTTTACATTTAAGTTCAACATTTTCTAATACAACAGTACAAAAAACAATACAACAATACAAGAATCAAAAGTTGTATCTGTTAAGAATATTTAATGGACCTGAGCTAACATGAACTAACAATGAGCAATTACCAAAACATTGCCAAGGATTAGTAAGTACTTTAACAAATGTATTGGGCATTGATAGTTAATGTTATTTAATGCATTAACTAGCATTAGCTAATAGAACCTTATTGGAAAGTGTTTTCTTTAATATTTCGTATTTTGAGGGTACTAAACAATATTCGCCTCTAAATTTTGCAACATTTATTTCTCTATAAAATAATCCAATAAAAAAACACGTTTTATACTGTTTTTCAATTGATGCAGTATTTAAGTTAAAAACAGAGCAAACTGATTTAATACCACACACCATTCTGATACATTTATTTCTCAATTTGACTTTGCAGTTGAGAGGGAAGATCTGTGCATACCTTCACCAGGAGCAAAACGGGAAGGGGAAACTGGAGAAACCGCGGCCGTTCAGCCTGTTGTGTGTCATGGCGGATCAGACATTATTCTCAATAGTCGAGTGGGCAAGAAGCTGTGTCTTCTTCAAGGAACTAAAGGTACAGCTCTGAGATAAGACAAAGTGTGTGTGTGTGTGCTTATACATGTGGACACATCTCTGATCATCCAAATGATCATTCTGGAGTGTTTTGTCTATTACTATTTTGGAGAAAGTCTGCTATTTTGTCGCCAAACCACGTATCTTACTGAAAGATAACATTTAGGGACGCCAAGGCATTCAGATATTGTGAATGTTTTGTTGTAGCATGTTTGTCAAGCAGTTTTAAAAGTAAGATTACATTTTAATGTTTAGATTTTAGTGGTGGTATCGCTGATATGTGTCAAAGTCCAAATTCTTGCTCAGTTTCCAAAAAGGTTTGGATGGATGTTAATATCCTGAGAGGAATTTTGGCAAAAAGGCATCAGATGTGAATTTGGAAGCTCGAATTTGGACACTCAGTTGCTATTCACATCAGGGAGTGTTGCAAATCACAAAAGATTTGTTGTTGCTGTGATTCCGAAACAGATACAGTGTTGACATACATAGAATTTGCCCTCTCAGAGCTCTCACCTCTTATAAATGTCTTAATTATCGGTCTCGACTCATATTAGACGGAATATTCGGTCGATAAATGACTGCACGTTCGAATGAATTCAAGCAAATAATGTAGAATTTCAAACTTTGTTTTTGCACATGCACACCTGCATGACCGTCGCATATTTTTCGTACACTTCATTCCATTCTGCAGCCATGGCAACTAGCGTTCTGCAATTGCGAGCATGAAATGTGTCAGAGTTTGAAAACACATGCCAGCGACTGACTCCTGCAGACACAATGCTTTCAGAAACACTTAATTGCATTCCGTACCGCAATAGTTCAAGAATCACAGCCACATTGTTCCGGACCGCTGAAAGGTATCGTGCGATGTGGAAAACTTGCATTTGGATTGAAAAGGGTTTTATTAAACTCTATTTAGTGCGTGTTTGTGTGCATACTAGGGAGGGTTTGTGAATGAGTCTGACACTTTGTGTCCACAAATGCGAGAGAGGTCAAGTTTCCAAAGCTGTGGATTAGATGTAGATATACGGTTTGAGTAATTGTGTCTGGGCTGTGGTTGATATATGTAGCGCTACGCTTCTATTAGAGCTTTACTGCCGCCCACTACGTGTCAGAATACTGACACAACGTGGCCTTCAAAATGCAGCACACTGTATACGGGCGGAGGATTAGTGGGGGAGGAAGACGAGAGACCGATGAAGGACGAGAGGTGCGAAGGTGCGAGAGGTCATCGTTTGACGCTCATAAATACAGTGCATTCGATGTGCACTCGACGGCTGCTCATCACAAGGACTCTCATTCCCTCGTTTTATGATGTCTATCCGCTTAGCTGTTCCTCTGCATGCAAGGGTTGTATTTCTTTGGGTTTTAGAGTCAAAGGTGATGTGCTTGAGCGTGTGCCGTGTGCTACGAGTTGAGTAAAACCGCCTGAATGTCACACATTTATTGTTGTTTAGGGTTTTTGAGACTTTTTATTGAGAGGAGAAATTCTAACAAGGCTTTGAAATGATGATTATTTAATATTTTTAGATCATATATGAAATACCTTTTGCTTTTCGTGAACAGTCATCGATTTCCTATTCGCAGATATATGATATAGTCTGTATACAGTTTCTGAAGCTTTTATGGAAGCCAGGCTTTCTCACATACACTCTCACTCGCACACAAGCTCTGAGATCTCAAATCAAACCATTCGCTCGACTCTATTTACAGTCCTCATGTCATTCCAAACCTGACTTTCTTTCTTCTGTGGAGCTCAAAAGAAGATCTTTTGAAACATATCTGTGTTTTGTCCATACAATGAAAGTCAAAGGTATCCAATGATGGACTTTCATTGTATAGACAGAAACACTTTTCTTTCAAAATATCTTCTTTTGCGTTCAACTGTTTTTGTCCATACTGTAGCATGTTCAAAATGTTGTTGTGTTGTGGATAACAATGTGCTTAACATTGCACTTTATTCATTTTTGTGTTGCGAACTGTTATTGGATGTTGGAGTTGAATGTGAAAAGAGGCTCCGCCCCCTGTGTGTGTGTAAGGGGAAACAGAGAGAAGGGGGGTCAGAAGAGTGCTGGTTCAAGTGTGCTTCTCTTAAAAGTCGGGGTGTTGTACGGCGTGGGTTGTTAAACACCCCTTTTGCATCAAAACGCCTTGTCTGAGAACGTTACAATACCATGAAAGTCAATGGGGTCCAAAACAACACTGGACCCCATTCATTGTTTTTTTTTTTTGTATTATTTCTATGCTATTATAGTATTTATTAATGTCAAAGTTGTTCGTTTTAGTAATTTTGTTACATGCTTCATTTCAGTTATAGTTGGTACTTCACAATACTTCAACTTAAACATTTTTATTTCAGTCATTTATTTAGTTCTTTAATTTTTTATTTGAGCAACATTTCTCATTTTTGTTTGTTTGTTTTTTTAACTTTAGGTTTTTCATCGAATATTTGTTTATTCAGCTTCAACACATTTTCATAGTTTTAGTATATAATTTAACAACACTGACCCCATTAAATTTCATTGTATGGACAAATAAACACAGATTTTGTGTTTCACAGATAAAAGACAGTCACACGGGTTTAGGATGACATGAAGGTGAATAAATGATGACAGAATTTCTGAATGAACTATCCTCTTACATTACAATATCATGCGTTAAATCAGTATCATGGCCTGATACTGTAAGCATGTAATAAAATTTCTCCTGATTTAGGTAGGAGATCAGATGCGACTGCTGCATAACTGCTGGAGTGAGCTGCTGCTTCTTGATCATATCTGCAGACAGGTGCATCATGGGAGAGACAACAGTCTGCTACTCATTACAGGACAGGAGGTGAGTATTTCCAGCCATCATAGCACAATAATATCACTACGTAAAAGCTTCATTGTTCGTAGAAAAGCAGAACATGTTAGCAGAAAGAGTGTGGACAGAAGAGAGATGGCCTGTCTGAAGTTCCTCATCCTCTTCAACCCCAGTGAGTACGACTGCATCCTATTCACACACTGCTCTACATACTTTTAAGTACATACAGAGACACAATGACAGTCTGCAGAGTGACAGAATGTAATTGAAGAAAAATTATGCAAAACACAAAGGGTTGTGGGAAATATGAAGCCAACAACAGGTGTGATTGCATATTTTAATGCATATTTTATTTTAGTTGTTAGACGTTTTATTCCACTGAATATAAAGTAGGTTTATGTTTTAATTATGAATTTTGTAGTCATAGACCTTAAAGCAGTGGTTCTCAACTGGTGGGCCTCAGCAAACTTCATGATGGTTTAAAATGATTTAAAATATAAACAAGCATTAAAACAAACTGAAGCAACGAAAAGTCAAGACATTTCTTATTTTAATGGAAAAGTCATATAAATCAATGAAATCTTATAACCTCATGAGCATTTTTATACATTATATATGTATAAAAATTATATGCTTAACATTATATGCTCCAAAATGTTATCATGTAGAAATGTATAAAAATAAAAATAGAATAAAACTATAAATATAATAAAATGATATAATAAAATAAATATAATAAAGTAAAAATATAATAATAATATAAAATAATAAATACTCTTATTCTTAGTCCATAATAAAGGGGAGTCCGTCTCCCTCTCCCCTTTATCATTTAAGCACATTTGAAAATATTTTCAACATATTTTGATTTTGGAGACACTAATTGTAATCATTACATCCTAAATACAGTACAGTTTAATAAATATAGTGAGCACCAAATGTATTAAATAAATACAGCACCTCTAACTCTAACTTGTATCTAGCAACAAACCTTTTCCTAGAAATGTCCAATTTCATTTTCATTAGGCACAATAAACAAACAGCTGAAAGGAGAAAACTGGATTTGAAAGCGAAAGAATTTGTCACCTCCTCTCACTCTCACATTGATTTTTTTGTCATTCTTTGCCTAAACAGCTTTATTGAGTAATTTGTGTCCTTCAAATGTATTGAAAAGATTATTCAACATTTTAATTACTGTGTGAATGGCTTTTCTGATGAGCTCTGCTAATGCTTTAAAGTGCTCCATTAATGGGTCAGGCTATTGTCACCCAAACACACACACACACACACACACACACACACACACACACACAGACAGACAGACCTCTACTGGGACTATATGGCTATGTTCAGACTGCCCAAATTCGATTATTTTCTCTCATATATGACTCGGTTTTGTTTTTTCATAATAACACAACCCACATGAAATCTTGTTTTTTTGTTTTTGATTCTGGTTTGGGCCACTTCCATATGTGATACTAAAGCAGATACAAGTCAGATGTTTTGCAATGCAAGCTCATTCTGAATGGTCATATCGGAATTCATGCAACTTTTACATCACTTTAGATCAACATTAGTCACAATTCTGCGCTGACGGGAGTCACTCCAAAGAATTTACTTTTGTCACTCGGTTAATATGGAAGACAGCCATAATGGTAGTCAGTGGAGGGACAGTGAGGAACACACACACACACACACACACACACACACACACACAGACAGACAGACCTCTACTGGGACTATATGGCTATGTTCAGACTGCCCAAATTCGATTATTTTCTCTCATATATGACTCGGTTTTGTTTTTTCATAATAACACAACCCACATGAAATCTTGTTTTTTTGTTTTTGATTCTGGTTTGGGCCACTTCCATATGTGATACTAAAGCAGATACAAGTCAGATGTTTTGCAATGCAAGCTCATTCTGAATGGTCATATCGGAATTCATGCAACTTTTACATCACTTTAGATCAACATTAGTCACAATTCTGCGCTGACGGGAGTCACTCCAAAGAATTTACTTTTGTCACTCGGTTAATATGGAAGACAGCCATAATGGTAGTCAGTGGAGGGACAGTGAGGAGTAAGTATCACAGTGACAGTAGTGTTTCAAAACACTGCTTAGAAAGCTTTGAATCGTTTGCGAATCATTTGTATGTAACCAGAGGTTCAGAGAGCGTATCAAACTGCCAAATTCACTTGATTTCATTAAACGAGGCTTCGTTACGTCACCACTGTTCAGTTCGTCGCTGTGGGGGGGTGGGGGTGACCAGTGTCTATGGTTTTTACCTGTTTTATAAACATGTAGGCACTTTTAATGACAAATTTGTGCTGTGTAAGCCATGGCTTGTCAACATAGCAACTAAGGGGGTCGGGTCTTTGCGTAGGGTCAATTAAAAGGAAGAGTAGTAGTTAATAGTCTTTTATTGACCTGTTTAGCCAAGCCCTCCATAGATCAAACAAAAAAAGCCAAGAAAATGAATGAGAACACTTCAAATGTAATGGTATTAGATGATTAGTTACGGCATTTGTTAGATTATACTTTCAATAAAACATTTCCAATGGGTTGTAAAGCTGTTTTTATGCATGTTTGGCCTGAGTTTTTAATGCATTCACACAGTTTTGACCAGCAGGCGTCACCAGTGTGAGGTGTTTAGAACGCTTTGAAACAATAATATTGAATTGATTCAAAGCTTTGAAAAGGTTCATTTCCTTTTTCCTTTTTCTCATACTTGTCATCCTCCTTTGCATGCTTCCGCGGAACATCAGTGTTCAACGCTGATTCCCTTTCGAGTGTTTACTCTACATTTGTGAAGCATTCGCAGTGGGAACTCCTCCCCTTCTCCAAATGCTTCGCAATGTCTCGTTCCCGCTCTCAGGGAACTGAGGTTATGATAGTAAACGAAGACGTTTCAGTGTCCTCCATGTTTACGACCATATGACAGCTTCCTGCGCGCCATCTTGTTATTGTTCTTTTGAGCACAAGTGTCAGTTCAAGACCGTGATCAGTTCACACTCGAATCTGATACTCGTCACATTTAAAACAATAAAGTGAACATCCAAACTAAAGAAAAAGCAATAGATGTGAATGTAGCCTGTAATGATTTGTCTCTTGTCTGCAGATGTGAAGCTCCTGGAGAACCAGCAGTTTGTGGAGAGCGTTCAGGAGCAGGTGAACAGCGCTCTGCTCGAGTACACGCTCTACTCTTACCCTCAGTGTCTGGACCGCTTCAGTCAGCTCATACTGCGGCTGCCTGAGGTCCGATCGCTCAGCGCGCAGGCCGAGGACTTCCTGTGCTACAAGCACCTGTGCGGAGAAGTGCCGTGCAACAATCTGCTCATAGAAATGCTTCACGCCAAGAGGTCTACCGCCGTGTGAAAGTGACACTGCTTTGAGAGTTTCAGCCACATGCGCAAAATGAATGGTGAACAGTTTTCAGGCAATTCTTTCTTACCTTACGTGATGAATGTACAGAATTTTCTCATTTGTATTCTTTTAAAATCATTTAAGCATGACAATCATTGGTGGACGTGGAGGTGTTTTTTTCTTCATGCTGTTATTCTCTAGGCTATAACGGTAATTGCAAAGCGTGATCTCTGTAGTCTAAAGCCTCGTACACACCGGGACAATTATCGTGCTCGCTTATCGCCGACGTTTTTCGACGCGTCTTTTGTGTTCATACCCAAGCGATTTTTGCTGGCGATGAGCCGAGTGAACGTGCAAATTCACTCCCTGACATTAGATGGCGCTTAATGAAAAACAGAAATACCCCGGTACACATCGAATCCTATTTGATCTGCAATTCCTCTCCATAACAACTCCCTCTTATCAAGATTTTTGTAGTCGCTGTCGCGTTTGTCATTTAGCCCTTTGTGTTCAGACACCAATGAGACCAGCAGCTCTACATTCATCTTGCCTCGATGCATCTTCTTGGTCTACTTACTTCCTCTTCGTCGTTAGGTATCAATGTGTGCTCGGCAAGACCGTTTTGTGCTTGAGCACGCCACCAAGTCTTGTTTTACTGTAACTTCAGCAGCTCCAGGCACGTGAACAAAAGCGCCAATCTCATTGGCCGGTCAGTTTTTAACGCGGCGCATCAAACCAAAAAAACGAGCCCGAGGCGTTTATTAAAAAAATGACGCTTTTACGCGTCGGTGTGCACACTCACATTGGCGCCCTTTGTTTAGTCACGAGGCGTTAAACGTCGGCGATAATCGTGCGATATTCGTCCCGGTGTGAACAAGCCTTAAGAGCGATGTTTCATTTGAACGCTAATTTATGTATGTTATTTTATCTTAATGCTCCTGTGCTTTTGAATGGATGATGAGTATTGTAATTTCTTTGTTTTCAAATACATTTATTTAGTAGGTATTTAAAAAACATTCCAAAAGGGCTTGTCCAACAATGAATCAAATGAAAAAAAAAAAAGGTATTTATTGAAATTATATAATTAACAGTATCAATTAAACTATTTAAAGCACTTTGTTTTTTTACATAGATTACACATTTATTTGTCTTTCCATTTAAGTGAAAAAATTGGTCGCAATAAAATAAAATAAACAACACGTTGCAGTTGTATGAGGACTGTGTGTGGCAGTCTAAAAGCAATCTTACTTTGAATGGGCATGTTTCTAAAGACAGACATGCTGCTAAACTCTGAGTGTCTCTTCAGTGTGCCAATAAAAAGAGGTTATGGGAAGGTCAGAAAACATTCACACATGTTGCCACCTTTGTAAGCGCATAAAGAGAGAGTGCTTCTTTTGAAATCCATTTGAACCAATTATTCTTCTATTCATTTTTAGTCTAATCAAATAAAATGTCCTGTGTATCATAAAAAAAAAATAAATATTCATAAATGACTACAGAGATACACACTTTCCACATCAAAACAAACAAATTAGTTTTAATAGTGAAAAAAGTAATACTGCATTTTATATGCATTGTATAAAAATAGGTAATACCTATTATTTACGTTTTTACGTCATTTCAATTGGGTAGTAGAATTACAGCATGAATAAACCAAAAACAAACCATTAAATATAAATGCTGTTATGATAAGGTAATCTTTCCATACTTGCTATTTGAGCACTAAAGACTTGTTTTTTATAAAAAATTAAATCGTGTTATTGAAATGATATATTGATACTTTCAACAGTCTCTTCAGAAAGATCAAACAGCTGATTGGTTTCAATGTCCACAGTTTTCTGATTCTTCAAAATATTGAATGTAAATCTCCACGGATGGGCTGCTCGTTCCCAACCGAAGTCAAAAATCACTAACAAGTCTGGTCACGATTAATGGTGTGATGCTCTTTGTTGCCCTTTTTTAGTATTATGAGCCTGACGACATCTATACATTATAAAATGATGACCAAATACACAACGTTGAGAAGTCTTTATGTGCCATGCTGAGCACAGTCTCATTGAGCGTTTACTGAAAGAGTGGTTTCATGTTAATCAAAAAACATTTACTCACTCAGCACAGACTGAGATCTGGGAACAAGACGGCCTGCAGGATTGCGGAGGAGGCAGTGTGTGCTCCTCCACAGAAAGAGCTACGTCTTCATCCCAGGATAAGCCACGAGTCCATGCAGAACTGTAGTGTAGTTTTCCCCTCAACAGCCTGTGGTGAAGCAAAAAAAGAAAGAAATAGCAGTACATACTTTTTGATGGCATAATTTAAACATATCAAAGCTTTATTCCATCATGCTATTTTGACAATTTTTAAGCTCAGTTCTCAATGGATTTAAACTGTTCGGCCAACAGCATTGGTTTTAGATTTAACTGTAGTCTATTCTAATATTAATTTCTTTTTATTTATCACATATTTGTTGAGAAGTGACAAAGCTTTTTGCTTATCCTGCTAGTGAAGAACTAGTGCTTCGGTGTGGACACACTTTATCTTGCAACAAGTTCATATGAAACAGTTCTTTACCTGAGGGCTTAGAGGCTGTCAGCTGAACCACCTGAAACAAAAGATAATGCCGTAATATCAAGTCAATTTGATTTGTATAGCACTTTTCACAATACAGACTGTTTCAAAGCAGCTACACTGTTTCAAAGCAGGTTACATTTTGTAACTGTATAAGCAAGTAAGCAACTGAGATTATCTGTTTAGTGAATATCACCCTACTGTATGTTTGCAGATAAAGTTGCATATGCTTATATATGCAATAATGCAACATTATATAAAGAGCTGCACGATAATACAGTTACATTTTTGGACGAGAATTGAGATGTACTATAGTAAATATCACTTTACTTGAGCTAGCATTCACTTGAGATTCCTGCAGCGCGCTTTCAGAGTTCTCTGAAACCCTCCACCTTCCCCAGGTCCACCTGTATAGATCTGCTACGAGGTGATACATGTATGCTATATGCCGGTTTTTTCATGTATATTATATTTGCAGCAGCTATATTTCTTACATGCTCACAGCAGCATGCTGTGGATGTATTGGCAGTAGCAGGTCACGTAGCAGATCTATTCCTCCAAGACCAAATACATTAACATTGTCATGTACATTACCATGCCAATCCCTCCGAGAGTTGTCATGACAGAAATATATATATAAATAAATAAATAACTACGAAAATACAGTTTAAATTTTCGTGACATAATCAATCACGCAGCTGAGATTTGTTATTAGAATATTTCTTTATGTGAGTATACAATATGTAGGATGTACATATATATATATATATGCAACTTTTAATATATCGCTGGACGATAATATAGTTTATATTTTTATTGATATAACAATAAAGCTTTTGAAATTTGCTATATAATACATTGCTTAACATGTGTGTACTGTATGTGTCCAGGTAACGTTTGATATACTTAGTAGTTGTATAATTCATTAATAATTAGTAATTTGTTAATTTATTCGAGTTAATAATTTGTAATTTGGTGGTATTGAGAATTATGAAATTTAAATGAACAAGTTTTGTTCAATTTATAACAATTGGTTGTAGTGACAAGCCTAATTACTATTTGATGATGTGTAAAATATCAGTGAAAAATATGTGTGGTTTGCAGCTTACCTGACTTATGTTAGCCGGTTTTAATGGGAAACTCACAATATGGTCCTCTTTAAACCGTTCTAACATATAAAGAGGAAAGGACAGAGATGTTACATGCAAGCAAATCTGCTTTTTTAAGTTTCATGTTGACTAAAAGTAACACCAATTTAGCTGCAGATGGTCGATACGGATGAGTTTCACGCACCGTTCTTAAAGACGAGCGAGTTGGCTGTAGAAGTGGTGATGGGAGTCGAGCTCTCGCTGCTCTCTGGGCTGGAATGAGTCGGCAGGCTGTGTACCCATGAAGCACTGGGAGATTTTTGGGAGGGCAAGAAGCTGATAGGCTGTGAGCAGTTCTGCAAGAGGAAATGACATCAAAAGTGAGTACAATAACAGAGAAACAGATTTAAACTGTTCAACTATTTAAATGAACAAAAATAAGGTCTTACAGTAAATGACAAAGCTTTTCGCTTGTCCTGGATTCTTCTTATTGCATTTCGCACCTACATTACACGCATAAAACATCCAGAAACAGTATTATGTTGCAATTTAGAAAGGAAATCATACAACTTCTTCGTACTACTGAAATATAAGATAAGAAATATAAGAAAAATATAAACTGATAGCTGATGTTATCAGTGAGTCATACCTCACTGTTGTAAACCGCATACACCAGAAAAATATACAGGCCCTAGAATGAGAGGAGATGTTTAATGAAATAACATGGACGCTCACTCATGCTAGTGATTAGAATGTTAACAACACTGAGCAAAGTAACTTTTAAACTTTATAGTCACTAAAAGATGTTTATATGATCATTTATAATGGTGTATATGGGTCATTATACTGTTCGTTTTGCAACCATGTCAAAGCAATAATACATGAATAAAAATAAAATGCAAAATATTGTGTCAATCTCAGCAATTTATGAGTCATATTTCATCTCCAAATATAATTCTTTAAAATAAAAATGATATTCTTCATAAAGAAATTGAAGCCTATATTTGGGCCATAAATCATCTTCCAGGCACTTGGGATTTAATTAAAACAACATTGAAAAAAATTTAAATTTTTTGCATTACAGTAACAAGAATTTGGGGAAGTGGAAATATGTTGCATTGTAATGAAAATCATGTCACAATGCAATTTGTTATGCAAAATATAATGAAAATTCACAGTGCTATATGGAAAATCATTTCTCATTTTTCTTTTCGATTTTGTTTTATAATATATGGGTTTGTTTCAATCAATTATTGTGTTTAAAGAATAAGCAACAGAAAATAAACAGTTTGAAATAATTTCAATAAAAATAATAATATAATAAACATTAAATGAATTTTTGTTTTCTGGGCCAAAACATTTAAAAAAATGCTTAAAATATAGTTTACTCAGACGTCTGAAGATTCAGTGTCTGGGGTGTAATAAACAGTATCATTAAAACAGTAAAAAAATAACAAATCTTTAAAAATAACCAGGAGAAACCTTGTTTTTGGAGGTTTAACTCAAATCATAAAAGGTTTATTCTTAGATCTTGTTAGCACAGA